TAGTCTTTAATAGAAGTGACTTTGTTGATAAAATATGTGCCTAAGTAGTTCCTGCTCAGATGCAGCACCTAGTGTTATGTTAGCATTGATTTGATTCTTAGACTTTCCCTTAAATAATGGGGAAAGAATCCAGGCAGTTCCTAAGAATGATTACAAATATATATTTCCCTAACAGTATGGATACCTATAAGTGAAAAGATCAGTGATAGTTAAGCAGCAGCAGTAACACATGCCAACAGTGGTGGGAGCCTCATAAAAATGGTAGTCACAGATCACTCAGATATTAGTGAGATATGAGACTTCCAGGTGCATCGGTATGAACCAGAAATACTGAATTGCAACTATTGCTGTTGTATCAAGGTCACTCCAACTAGTTACATATATGTTCAGAGCTGTTGTGTTCCAAGAGTTGATGAATGGGCTTGGGGCAGTGCTTGCTGTCTGGTAAATGTTATTAAAGTAATCAATAGGGTGTTTCTTCATTAGGTTTGCTGTTCCGAGAGTTGATGAATGGGCTTGGGGCAGTGGGAAATGTATGTTATCTGGTTTTGTCATGTGGGACATGCTGAATTTATAGGAAAAAGCTGAACTGCTGACCATCTGGTTGTGGCAAAAATACTAGCTTCAAAATAGAAACAAATCTACTCCTTAGTTTATTCATTTCTCCTGATTACTTTAAATGTTAGATTGCTTTTCACTAAGAGTTTATCTCCACAAATATGTATACCAGAGGCGCAGGCTCTGATCCACTTCCACTAATCCTTCTACCATTCAGGGCAGCGCTGCTAAATACCAGGAACACAGGAGCTCTGGAATACTTTGCTGGTGATAGTATGTTCAGACTTTTCTGGGATTACTTGTTACAGCACATCCCATATTGAGACATTCTCAGCGATTATTACTAGCTCTAAAGGGTAGTTGCAGAGGCCAGTGATTAATTCCTTACTAGCTGGTTTTTAAAGCTTTGACTGTAACTCAGCTCAGTGTTACAGAAAAGCAGTTGGCAAGAGCATCTTTGCAGTGATTGGATTTTAGAATACCTAGTTGTGGCTGAGGACAAGCATATGCTATAAGTGTTGTTCCCAGGAACACAGCATTTCCCTCTTACCAATGAGCTACACTTTGTGAACTTGCTGTGACTTCTGTACAGATGTTTCTCTACTGAGAGGGAGAGGAAATTGCAATATCCAAATTTCAAAAAAAAAATCCAAAATCAAAAGAAAAGATTTGAAATCAGCATATTGAATACATCTGAAAAACTGGTAGTTCTGTGAGGATTCAAACTGTGATGGAATAGAAGTGACTGCAGAGAATTATGTGGAATTTCATTCATGCATCAGAGGTCTTGACTAGGAGGGGAAGTCTGTGAGAGGGAGCTGCGAAGCCGCTGCTGGGTTACGTGTGCTGCAGCGCCGCGTGAGATCACTCGCAGACAGGCTGTTATTCTGTTAAAAGTGAGCGTGAATGGCTTGCTCTGGACTAAAGATGCAAGTAATAATCCCTGTAGATGTTTAATCTGCTTCACAGATATGCCTAAAAGCAGAGATAGAGATGTTCTTTTGAATATTCCTTTAGTTGTAAGATATCCAGCATTGCTACCCATTTCAATTCGCTGGTGCCACTTGTGTGACAGGACGTGTTTCTCAGCAGGTCCAGGGCGGTGATGCTCAGCCCTGCTCAGCCCTGGCGAGGTCACATCTGCAGGACTGTGTCCAGCTCTGGGATTCCCAGTGTAAGAGAGACATGGAGCCGCTGGAGCGAGTCCAGTGGAGAGCTGCTAAGATGATTAAGGGACCCAAGCATCTTCCTTATGAAAAAGGGCTGAGAGAGCTAGGCCTGTTCAGCCTGGAGAAGAGGAGACTGAGCGGGCATCTTATCAGTGTATACAAATATCTCAAAGGAGATTGTCAAGAGCGTGGGGCCAAACTGTTTTCAGTAGTGGCCAGCAATAGGACAAGAGGCAGTGGGCAGAAACTGAAACACAGGTAGTTCATCTGAATATGAGGAGAAACTTCTTTCTTTGAGGGTAACAGAGCGCTCGAACAGGCTGCCCAGAGAGGCTGTGGAGTCTCCTTTTCTGGAGATCTTCAAAACCCGCCTGGATGTGATCTTGTGCCACCATGCTCTAGGTATCCCTGCTTGATCAGAGGGTTGGACTAGATGATCTCCAGAGGTCCCTTCCAACCTCAACCCTTCTGTGGGATAAATCAAATGAACTGGTCTTGCACCTGACAGCGGGACTCCCACTTCTGCTGTCAGCAAGGGCAGAGGAACACGAGCAAGCTGAGCTGCCTTGTTGCTGCTAGGGCAGGCATTATTGAAATAAAGTCTGTTGGAAGATGTGGTGGCAGCTGGGTGGGTTTGTAAAGCTGTAATCTGCCAGGCATGGTCCCCTGGAGCAGGTGGTTATTCCAGTTTGCCATGTGGCAGCACAAATTCTCACGGCTGGTTTCTGGGCTGCTTGGGGCAGGAACACAAGTGAGTAGAGAGAGGCCGTGGCCAAGTGGCCCTTTCTGGCTACCCGAGCTCTCCTCTTGTCTGTCAAATCATGGTCTAATATCGTTAGTGGGATTTTTGGCAAAAGAGGTGGCTGTGCTAGCAGAATCATTTCACCTACCAGGAGAGCTCGGTGTGATCGTGGCGCAAGTAAGTGACCGTACTCAGTTAGGGACGATGTTGGCCTGCCGGACTGCCTTTATTTAAGTGCATAGTAAGAAATGCAGCCGTTGCTGATGAAGAGACTCCATGAGCTTCAGGAGCAGGACAAGTGCTGGGGCTTCACGGCGCTCGGCTGTGCTCGCCGCATGCCCTGGCTGCCGCATCCCCCCGCAGCCTTCGGGGAGCTGCCCGGCAGGCTGGGAGTCAAATCTGCGGTTAACGGGAGTCTTATCAGCGCCGCCAACACGCCGCTACCCAGCTCCTCCCTGCAGCGCCGGGGCCTGCGCTGGGAACTGGGCTGCATCTCTGCTAACAGACATGCTATTGTATCCATATTGAAATGTACAGAGAACTATTCTGAGCTTTATAGCTGATCACCTTCATATGTTTGGGCTGCCTTGGTGTAGAACAATACTGACATTCAGTTGTTGATTATACTTGCCACTGTTATTTGACTATTGGGGAGATTTTGATGGGGTTTAATGGTCAGTGCTGGCTAAACTCAGAACACATTTGGTTAAATGGGATTAGGACAATTGTGCCAAGGCTCCTTTGTACGAATGCTGTGTTTGTAGTATTAAAGTTATCAGTTTTTTTAACAAAGTAAGACAAGAGATGAATGTGATCCATGAAACTTGCAGTAGTGCTGCTTTGTAGATTTGGTTTCTCTCCCATTCCTAAGCAAACTGACAGTTGCAGTTTCCAAATTAAAATCCTTTTATCTACTATATTGGCTTAATAGAATCTTCCCATCCATATCTTGACTATTGCTTTTTGTGTATCTACCAGCAAAGACTGGGCTCCTTGCAGGAGCCTAGACATGGCTGCAGTGGAAATCAGCACGTCTGAATCTGGCGTGTGACAGGGCAGTAGAGAGTGCATCCTGCAAGTGGTGCCTTGGCTCCCTTCCACCTCTGCAGTGTTAGATGCAAGGAACTAGCTTGCTTACTGCCCATTTTTCACTTTCCTAGGTGAGCTTTGGGAGACATAATTTTGTATAGTCAGTATTTCTGAGCCCAGACTCTTTCTCAGTGTTACAAGTGAGTTGAAGGTTGAGCCTGTACCCCGACCCGTTGAGCTCTAGACACAGTAACAAGAGTCCTCTTCGAAGCTGTGTTTTTTACCCCAGTGCTAGGGCATGCAGTGTTTAGACTTCTTAAAATCCGCATGGAATTGGGCCATTTCCAGTGAGAGGCTTCCGTGCTGTTTCCACATTTCTCTGCCAGAGTCATGTTAGTTAAGGGGCAGAGCTTATCTCCGTTTTGAAGGAGTGAAGCCTGGTAGGTTTTGGTGTTTGGCTTTTCCTAGACAGGCAGAATTGGTGGTGGTCTTAGTATCCCCAGTGCTGAGGGTGCTGCCACCCGGTAACTGTTCCCTCTCTTTCCAGTCACAACTGCATTTCTCCAAAGGTTGGATGAACCTCAGTTACTGGTGTATGCTCTTTTCACTCTCTGCCAATGCAACGACCTGAATCAGGAAGCTGATCTGACCAAAACCTCTTTATTTTCTGGGTCTTTTTTTTTTTTTTCCAGCTGGATCAATTTCTTAATATAGATAACCACATAACCACAGAACTCCTTATATCAATAGCTGGAAGGAGCAAGAATGAAAAGCCAGGGCATATGGGCAGCTTCTTCAGCTATAGAAAAGTCTGTGTGGGGTATAAGGAATGGGTTAATTGCAGCTCAAGGAGTCTGTGCTTGGTTATATTTTGTTTTGTTTTCTAAGCCTGAATTTAAATGCAGACTTTCTCTTTTGTCAGAGGACAGTTACACTGAAGGTCTTGCAAGCCATTATACTTGTCTCATGTAGAAACTGAAAAGTTAAACAGGTCTAATACCATTTATCTGTTCTTCCAAAGTGGAGAAAATAATTTATGCACTTCTAATTTCAGCTACTGTTTCGTTGAAAGATGAGAAATAGACTAGGAATTAGTTTTAAGAACAGATAAGCTTCTTCTCTGGTGAATGAAATGAAGTGTCAGAGCCTGAGACGTGTTTTTGTAAATCCTAAAGGATGCAAGAACAAAAGGATTACATTCTTTGCTTGGAGCTTCATATTTCATGAAAGATGTTTTAGACATGCTTTACAGGATTTTTTTTTTTTTTCCTCCCCATGTGCATCAGATACATTTGAGGTAATTTTATTAAATTAAAACAGATGTTGATTTCTCAGTTTGTGTAATTCTGGTGAATTACACCAGAAGCTGCCAAACCAAATATATTTATCTTTAATGGACATCAACGTTCAGTTGTGTGTGTAAGTGTGATGCAGACTCCTCTGTTGCATGAAAAGTAGGAAATGATGTATAAGGTCTCCATCAGCTCATGTTATCAAACAACATGCCTAAACTGGTGCCGACCAGTGAGAGTCTTTCTCAACTGCTAAATAAGGATGAAAGTAGAAATTGAGAGTGCCAGCTTCTTGCTTAAGTTGTGACATATATTAGTGACTTAATCCACTTTGAGTGTAACGTTTCCCCAAATAAAGAAAACACTATTTAAAACCAGCAGTAAAGCAGTATCTTTTTCTTAGCTTCATTCACACTGTATGCTAAAGAATAACCATTATAATAAAGGGGACCTGGGAGAAGAAAAATGACGGTTATCAAATTCTTTTGTTTATTTTAACTTGTTCAAATATGTTTCCAACAGAAAATGATCCACAGTCTGTTTCTTATAAACTGTTCTGGTGATATATTCTTGGAGAA